TGACCGTTGCCAAGCTATTGACGTCATTTTTTTTTTTTGTCAAACGATAAATTTTGTCATATTAGATATTAGATTAGCCATCGATAGAGTTTGAATCCACACTGTCATGCAAGAGCTCAACACATTTCCACAGTTGATCTTTATCCAAACTCTCCCACCGACTCAGTGTCGCTGCTAGCTTGCCACTAACTATAACAAACTCAACAACTTATTAAATTACTAATTAATTACTTAATCCTGCTTAAAAGTATCTAAGTCATAACACCACCCTCCCCCAATAGAAAACCTTGTCCACAAGGTTACCATTAGGCCATCTTCAACCGAAGGGCTAGGGTTGAAAAAAATTCTCGAAAATCTCGAACCAACCTAAAAAAATCCCAATCCCAAACCAAAATTCTTGCAGTTTAGGGATGACATACTGTACCAATCCTGAAATTTCGGTACGGGATTCGATATTGTCTCTTCAATTTTTCGGTAATCCTATACCGAACCAAAAATAATATATATATATATATATATATATTATTTTAGTTATAACAGAAGAGTGATGTTATTCCCACCCTAATGTCTTATCTTCCCATCTACCTGTTAATGAATTTTTTAATTACAAATTTGTCCATTTACAAAAAGATTGATAAGGACATTAATTATCTTGTTTTGCTTAATTAAAAAAAAATAAAGGTTGGGCATGGGAGACAATTTGTCTACCTTAAACCCTAACTCATATTTTCATCTTCTTTCATTCAGAGAAAGTAAAAAAAAATAGCAATGGGCTTAGAAGATGACTTTTTCATTGAACAAGTAGAAGATGACGTTTTTACAGAAGAGGTAGAAGATTATGTTTCCATTGAAAAGGTAGAAGAATAATTTGTGTGTAGGTCATTTGAATTTATCCATCGTATTTTTAAATTTGTCGTTGTCGAATTCTTTTGAATTTGGATGCCTCTGTCGTTTCCATTTGAATATACAGACCTTAATGGTTTTCATTTACATATTATTTGTTATATTTTTTTAAGAGACAATTTTATAAATTCATATGTACGTATATATTAAAGGTTATTTTGGGAATAATAGTTGGTGGGAAAATAACATTTTAATTTTTTAACTTTTTAAGGTGGGTGGAAAAATAAGACAATGAGGTAGGTCTAGTAGCTCTTTAGGAGAATTATTTCAGCCATTCATTGTTTGAATCCAACTCTTTAGCCTTCCTCCACCACACAACCATCGCTCTCTCTCTCTCTTTCTCTCTCTCTCTCTTGATCTCTGGGATTCCCTCTCACGTGATTTTCTCTCTCAGACACTTGGAACTCTCGATCCAGCACCGAGTCTCACTCTCATCCCAAATTAGGTAATTAATTTAGAGTTTTGAAATCTAATTTCTGTCTTCCTTTTGAAATTAATTTTGTTTGCAAAGTTCAATTTTGTTCATGTTGTAAATCGTTGTTTCTGATAGATATCTTTCACTTGTTACTGATGCATCATGAGAACAATACTTGCTAGAGTATTCTTTTCACAACAATCTTCTCTTACTGGTTGCGATCGCTTGCTGGTTTTCTTTTGGGAAAAAAAGAAGATAATCGTCTGGTTAGTTCTCTCTTTGGTATTTGGATTTATTTACAAGTGCTGCTCCTCTCATACGTGTTGTGTTTCTCCATTTTTGTTTACTTCCATTCCACGGAGAAGGCATAATTAAGTTGTATATTATGAGCATGATTTTAAAGTTTGTGTTGTCCTCTCTTTAGGAGTACCGTGGTTGAAATATGTGCTTTAATTGACACAGATTGAGAAATATAATCATGTATGGTTCCAAAATTTCGAGATTCCCGATTTGTCCCGTGTTGATGCACAAAACCGGAGGTTTTGGAATAACGTAAATCCGACCGTGAATCTGCAAGAAATGTAAAGAACACAAGATGTATCGTGGTTCAACCCAAGGTTTGGGCTACGTCCACACTGATATGTACTTAGCTGTTTGTGAAGGAAAGAGATGGAGAAAGCTTCTGAGAGTGAGAGAGCTCTTCCATGGCCTAAGAAATTGGCCTCCCTAATTGTGAGGGTGAGGGGTCCTTTTATAGAATAAGAACTCCTCACTTATTACATATTTGCCCATTCCTTTATTACATAATTACATTTAAGTCCCCCGAGTATTTGTACGAGATCGAGATCTTAATACGAGGCCCTAAATATGGTATAAACAGTAGTCCTCCAAGTCTTCAGTCAAGAGAGTCTTTTGGCTGGAGACTTGAAATTCAGTCCATGTGTGTGCCGAAGTAACTAGATGTTGCCTTGAACTGATGCTTGATATGAGGCGGTGCTCAATCTGAAATGATGTTCAACTAGAAGTAACACATGCTGCGAGGTTGCTCGGCTCGTGGCTTATGTTGCCTTGGTTAGCTCGGCTTATGGCGTTGCGATGAGGGAGTCCCTTTTATAGAATAAAGGCTCGCTCCTCAATACATGAATGATAGGCTAGAGTTGATGCTCTTTAATGATGGTAAGGGAGCCCCTTTTATAGAATAAGGGTCCGCTCCTCAATACATAAGTGATGGGTTAGGAGTGATGCTCGTGGCGATGCGGTTGCTCAGATGGCGGCGTTGCTCTCTAGTGAAGGTGAGGGAGTCCCTTTTATAAAATAAGGGCTCACTCCTCAGTACATGAATAATGGGTGCTCTCTAATGAAAGTGAGCGAGTCCCTTTTATAGAATAAGGGCTTGCTCCTTAATACATAAATAATGGGCTAAGTCCCCCAAGTATTTTTCATGAGGCCCAGTTGAGGCCCAATATATGGTACTAAATGTAGTCCCCCAAGTCTTCGGTCAATAGAGTCTGTTGGCTAGAGACTTCAAATTGAATCCATGTATGGGTTGAAGTGGCTGTTGTTCGGAGGCGGTATTTGTATATCCTGCACTAAAGCTTTGTAGGTGAAGCTTTACAAGTGAAGCTTTAAAGCTAGAACTCTGTAAATGAAGATTTCGAAGCTGGAGCTTTTGTAAATGAAGCTTTTGAAGCTAGAGCTCAAATGAAGCTTTTGAAGCTGATTGACATGAGTGATGCTCATGAATGTTTATATTGATTGACATGAGTGATGCTCATGGATGTTGTCATGAGTGATGCTCATGAATGTTAACATGAGTGATGCTCATGAATGTTGACATGAATGATGGTCATGAATGTTTATGTATGATTGTCATGAGTGATGCTCATGAATGTTTATGTATGAATGACATGAGTAATGCTCATGTATAATTTTGGAGTACTAGGCGTACTTTTGATCACCTGGTTGGTGGCATGAAGGGGAGTATGGGTTGTACATTTCATCACCTGGTTGGTGGCATGAATGGCTAGTTGCCAAATGATATTAGTATCGGTTGTACATTTCATCCTGGTTAGTGGTAATAGCGGCAGGTTGCCGAATAATTATGGAGTACTGGGTGTACTTTTGATCACCTGGTTGGTGGTAATAGCAGCAGGTTGCCGAATAGTTGTGGAGTACTGGGCGTACTTTTGATCATCTGGTTTGTGGTAATAACAGTAGGTTGTCGAATAATTGTGGAGTACTGGACGTACTTTTGATCGCCTGGTTTGGAGCTATTTTGGGCTTATGGGCCTTCGCCCTTTACACAACATTCCAGCCCATTTATTTTGGGCTTTGCCCTTTTTTTTTTTTACCCTCTGATGGGGTTTATACAGATATTTCCAAAAGATAAGGAAAATAAATTACATCATTCTGGTGGGGTGTTTATTCCTTGCTTTTGCAGTGTCCCCATGTGCCTCCCTTTTGCTTTCTCTTTATCCCTCCCTTTTGCTTTCCTCTTTTCTGCTTTTGTTTCTTTTCCCGTAGCTTTACTGATGTTATCACGAGAGAAAATGATTTTGCCCGGTATGGCAGTGGCAACTTTATGTCAACCGCCTGCATAATGCCTTTGCTAACAAAACTCTTGCCACTTGCGTTAACATCTTCCAAGTCATATGGTTCCACACCCTATGCTTCAGTATCCTCTTCTTTCTTTTAGCATATGGCAGATAATAATAATATAATTAATCATAAAAAACTTATCTTCTTCTTTTAGCATATGGCAGACAACAATAATATGATTAATCATAAAAAAACTTATCTCCTTCGTTGCAAACCAATCAGGTTGGGAAGAGGACCATTGCAGATCCAGGCATCATTGCCGTGACGCTACGCTGTACTGATGCGTAGTCAATATGCCTGTAGCCATTCTTGACTGCAGCGATGACAGCTTGACCGACCACGTCTGGTTCAGCCTTTCATGTTCCAAGACCAACAAATAGGATCTTAGCTCCTGTATTCAAATCAAAACACAAAGTTTCATATTTGTTTTCGCCCATCTTCTTCATCCTTTGGGCATAAACTATTGCCCTGTGGTAGTGCTCCTTCGTTCTCAACCCTAGGTGGGGAATCCTCAGCTCAAATGCCACCTTGGCATTCATTGTGGGACCATATCCAAAGACCCAGAACACCATGGTTGCGTTTGACTAAATGAAGATAGCAGAAATCTTCCCGAGAACAAAGAAAAGGAGATGAAGCTTTTGGAGAAAACCCTGGGCCGGTCTGATTCGATAGATTGAGAAAGTGAAAAGCCATCGACGGTGGTGGTCAGTGACAAGGAAAAAAGAGAGAAACGAAAAGAGAATGAAGCTAAACGCCACGTTTCTCCCTCCTGGTTCGTTCATCTTTACCTCTCTCTTCGCCTTCTCTTTCTCTCTCTCTTCTGGGTTTCGCTAGGTAGGGGATTACAAGCGTCTCCGATGTATGACGATCCAGGTGAAGAAGGAGCTGATGAGGCGAAGAAACCCTGTTTGTCAGAAGCCCGATTGATCCCTACTGAGATCACTTTTGTCGGCGTATTGTATGCCTGCAGTCATTGCGGGATGGTCGATGAAGGGTTTAATTACTTTCGAATGATGAAAAAGGAGTATGGAATTTCACCGAGAATAGAACATTATGGCCACGTTGGAATATCAGTCATTTTGGTTTAACTTGTTGGTTGCTGCTGCCCACTTTGCCTGCCTTGAGAAAGTGAAACGAGGAAGGAAGACGGTGAGCGTGGACTGGTTCCTTCCATGGGCCTGCGCACGTAGACAGCCATGATCTGAGCGTGGGTAATTTCCAGGTAGACAGCCAGGAGCCTGATTTTCAAAAGTGTAGGCGGACCTTGTATGAGGACTCCGGGAAGGGAAGTGTAATGAGGCAAATAGGCTTCTCATCTTCATGAATAGAACCCAAGAACTCCATCAATGGCCAAATGGAAGTGACCTCATGAATCTGGTTGGAATGGATCCCAGAACCCTCGAGGTCCAACGCAGTGACGCGGTGGCCGGCATGTCGGAGTAGGGTAACAAGCTTGTACCAACACCATGCTCCGAGGCAAGTGCCATGAACCAAAACGAAATGCTTTGCATTCTCCATATTCCTTGATAGTCTGCTCTGACGGATTCTTGTTCTCCACCTCGAATTCCTTCAAGTACTTCTCTATTTCCACACTAATGGTGGTTGTTTCGCCATCATGTGAGTAGCAGGTGACTTGGGTGTGTGGCAACTCGCACTGGAGTTATTGGCCTGAATTGGTCTTCTGATATTTCAAGACCCATTTTTTCTTGGGACTTGGGAGTTAGAAAAGTTTTCTTGGCTGAAGCAATTAAGCTTGCTAGGTCGTGTAAATTAATAAATTGGGGCCAGAAAAGAAAAGGAATGCGTGCTGAGGAAATTGAGAGGGTGTCTTGAAAAGAGAAAGACATTTTGCGAAGAGGTGATAGACAAGAGGAAGATTTTCATGTTGTGGAAGTGGAAGAGGTGACATTTGTCTCGAGTTGTACTTGCTACTGAGACGAATCTTTTTCTAGAAGAGCCCAGTGAGGTTCTTGGGTTTCTTGTAGATTTTGTAGAAATTTCAGATCTACGGTGGACAATGTGAGATTTGATGAAAAAAATGAAAGAGAACCGACATAGTTTTTTGTGTTGATTCCCACAGACGACGCCAAATGTTGATGCACAAAACCAAAGGTCTTGGAACAACGTAAATCCAACCGTGAATCTGCAAGAAATGTAAAGAACACAAGATGTATCATGGTTCACCCCAAGATTTGGGCTATGTCCACACTGATATGTATTTATCTGTTTGTGAGGGAGAGAGATGGAGAGAGCTTCTGAGGGTGAGAGAGCGCTTCCATGGCCTAAGAAATTGGCCTCCCTAATTGTGAGGGTGATGGGTTCTTTTATAGAATAAAGACTCCTCACTTATTACATATTTGCCTTTTCCCTTATTACATAATTACATTTAAGTCCCCTAAGTATTTGTACGAGATCTAAATACGAGACCCTAAATATGGTATAAACAAAACTGAAAGCCGAAAACCATGTCCACGTCAAATTCCACTTTTATCCAAAAAGGGTAAAATCGTCAACTCACCCCAACGGAAAAGAAATCACAATGAAAAGTAGGGACGGATCGTCACATAAACTGTTTTCCTAAGTGCATTTTGGAAAGATTTCTTCAAATTGCAAGGTTCTAAGCTTTGCATGAGCTCTGGTTACCATCCCTAGAGTGATGGGCAAATTGAGGTGGTTAATAGGTGTCTTGAAACCTATCTTTCACTAGTTGTCAACCTAGGAAGTGGTTGCAATGGCTTCCATGGGCTAAGCGGAGTTACAATACATCATTTCACACTTCTTCAAGGTTTACTCCCTTCGAAGTTGTTTATGGATACCCCCTTCCATATAGTCTCTTATGAATTGGGATCTGGAAAGATGGATGTGGTGGAGCAAGGACTAATGGCCAAAGGTAAATTGTTGGCAATGCTGAAAACCAATATGTGAATATCACAAAATAGAATGAAGGTGCAAGTTGACAAACATAAGAGTCAAAGAGTGTTTGAATTGGGAGATTTTCTTTATCTGAAGTCGATTCCTTATCAACTGCACTCCCTAACTTCTCATACTTATCATAAACTCCATCCAAAGTTACATGGGCCATTTGAAGTTGTGGAAAAAATTGGTGCACTGGCTATTAGATTGAAGCTGCCTAAAACCACAAAGATACACCTAATTTTTCATGTAAGCTTTCTTAAGAAACACTTGGGTCCTAATGTGAAACCTGTGCCAATATTACCAATTGTTTCAGATGATGGATTGATGGCTCAAGAACCCTTGGCAGTGCTGCAACGAAGAATGTATTAGAAGGGAAGCTTAGCTAGAGTTCAATTGCCAATATAGTGGAAGAATGGCAGTGTTGTAAATGTTACCTGGGAAGACTATGACGAGTCTCTGGCTAAATTCCTGGATTTTAGTCTCTAGGGCCATCTCTAATGGAGAGGGCTAAAGGGCTATAGGGCCAAAATATGGCCTGATTTGGACAAAATCCATCTCCAACTGAAAGGCTAGGCCCAAAATTAGTGGAGCCCCTAGGCCAAAGCATGGCCAAAAGGCTATCAAGCTAACCAAAGTTGACCTGATACCTAACTCGTTTTTTGGGCCCCAACAGCTGCAATTGCAATGAGTTGGACAGATCCAGCGACCAAGGTTGGTACTAATTGGTACTATAATTTACATTTATGTATATTTGTTTAAGAGTGTTATGGGAAGCAGAGCAAGGGTACTAATTAGTACTATCATTAACCCCCTTTTCAGCTCCAAATAATTATTGGTAGTTCAATTAAATTAATTAATTAATTTAAAGAATACATTTAAAACTAATAAATTATTAAAGGGTTATGTTTCGCCTACTCGGTTGGAGATGGTATATGAATGGGTCTTCTAGTTTGACCATTAGTCTAATCTGGTCAATGAAACTTAAACAACATGAAACTTTCGACATAAAAAAAAGAAAAAAAAACACAACATGAAACTTAAAACAAAATTCAACGACAAGTGGCACTCAAAATATGTCCGGAAACCTTATTTTAATATGCTAGTTTAATTCAATTAACCAATAAAATTAAAAAACAAACTTAAAATAATAAATTATTGAGGGGGGGATAAAAAATAGCCCCTTTCGGTTATATATGGTAGATAAACATGGTATGGCACTGTTCATTAAAAAATAATTTCTTGCAATGCTATAATCTGGACGGAGGCTAATTATAACCCTTTCTAGGATTGAATCGGTATGTGATACCGAACCGAAAATAGTATCTCAAATCTCAAACCAAAAATTTTCGAGACAGAAATTTGAAGATCACTCCCGAACTAAAATTTCAGTATTCCCGAATTTTGGGAATCCCAAAATATTTTTGGTATTTCGGGATGTTTGTACCATACTTAGGGCTTCCGTATTTAGATCTCGTATAAATACTCGGGGGACTCAAATGTAATTATGTAATAAATGGAGGGGCAAATATGTAAAAAGGGGAGGAGCCCTTATTCTATAAAAGGGCCTCCTCACCCTCACAATCCTTAGGCCCTCTCACCTTCACAAGCCTCCTCATCCCCAGAGGCCTCACTCTCATCCTCTCAAACCTCTCACTCTCATATTTAGAGCTCTCTCTCCCTCATAAATACAATATCAGTGTGGACGTAGCCCAAACCTTGGGGTAAACCACGATACATATTGTGTTATTTACTTTCTTGCAGATTCACGGTCGGATTTAGGTTGTTCCAAGACCTTCCGGTTTTGTGCATCAACATTTGACGCCGTCTATGGGAATTGATACGAAAAGTTGTGTCGGTTCTCTTTCATTTTTTCACCTCCGCCGTGATTCTGCAAAACCCACAGAGACATAGACACACACACTCTCTTTCATCACTTGGTTTTTGTCCTCTGTAAACATCAAGGGCCAAAAAAAAAACCCAACTGAGAAATAAGGAGATACAATGAGGAGGAGGAGGGAGAAGAAAATCCAAGATCTAAACCCCAAATTCGAAAAAACGTCCATTACTCCAGTCATGAGATATACTAACTTTGCCTGCTTACACACTCTTTCACTAACTATATCACATGACTGGGATTGTGTGCAGAAACAAAAGGTTCAAATTACTCTAGCAGAGAAACCCATCCACGACGACGATTAGACCATCATGATTACCATCCCCAACAGCTCATTTATCTCACTCTCCAGTTTTGATTTCATCACTTCCGACACTTGGCCAGTTGAATCATCTAGCATTGAGGTCATCCTCCCCCAGTTTCTGCTTGATTAAGTCGACTTGTGATGCCTCGCCAATAGCGGCGGGTGGCTGCGAAGCTAATGCCTGGGTTCTGGTCTTACCCCTAGACTTCTTAGCAGGAGCAGAATTGGATATTTCACTCAGCTTGCGAAGCTTCGAAGCAGCTGCCAGATTATGAAGCCGGAAAGTGACATTGGCAGCTCCAAACCGACTGTCATTTTGCGAATGGTTGAAGGCTTCTTGTGCATCGGAAAATTTTACAAAGGAAACAAGAGCGCATAAATTGGTATAAAACATCTCTGTTTCTGTTTCGTTCAGCTCTCCAAATTTACCATAAATCTTGATGAGATAGGATTTTGTGGGGAGAGAGGACCCAGGGCCAAATATCACAAAAAGGGATGCCGGTGAAGCTGTTTCATCGGTCTTCTTACGCCATTTCTTCAAATCCGGAGTTCCAGAAGGAGAGTCGCTGGGGGCGGCAGTGCTGCTGGTAATGGAGGTCATGATGCGGCCACTTGGAAAAGAGGGAGAGTCAGAGAAAGAAAGGAAGAAATCCAGCAGACAAGGAAAGGCAAGCCATGTGCTCGCGGTTTCATGCATGTGAAATCATTTTCTGATTTCTGAGAAAGCAAAAGTAATGACCAGGCTGCCAAAAGAGAAAAGATAAAGAAATAGAGTGGGAGAAACAAAAGTAGAAAAGAAAAGAGAAAACGAAAGCAAAAGCAAAAAAAAAAAAAGAAATGGCATTATTCCGTTCTTGTCTACCATCTGCCAAAAGAAAAAAAAAAGAAAAGGTAAAACCTTCAGTAGACGCAATATGCACATGGAAAAAGATCTGCAACAACCCAGTACGCAGTAAGTGCAGTACGCACTAACGATCTGCAACTGTAGAAGCTTTTGTGTCAAAACCTTTGTTTTGAATAATGTAATTTATTTTTCTTATCTTTCGGAGACATCTGTATAAATTCCATCAGAAGGTAAAAAAAAAGGCAAGCCCAACATAATGGGCTGGAATGTTGTGTGGAGGGCAAAGACCCATATGCCCAAAAGAGCCAGGCCTTCTATTATCACCAACCAAGTGATCAAAAGTACACCCAGTACTTCAAAATTATTCGGCTCCCTGCCGCTATTATGACCAACCAAGTGATCACAAGTACGCCCAGTACTCTAAAATTATTCGGCACCCCGCCACTATTATCACCAACCAGGTGATCAAAAGTACGCCTAGTACTCCAAAATTATTCGGCACCCCGCCACTATTATCACCAACTAGGTGATCAAAAGTATGCCCAGTACTCTAAAAAATT